CTGATTCTGACCAGCTGTGTGAACTTTGACAGTATCTGTCCTCTCAAACTTCAGTGTCCTCATCTGCAAGGTGGAGGCATAGCAATAATCATTATAATTCTCATGAGGAATAAATGAGGTACCTTATGTAGAAATCTCTGCGCACGATCCCTGAAGTAAAAATAGGGCTCTGTTAATGTCAGTTTAAAATGATAATGATGATTATGGTGATAATAATAATAACTATAAACCTAAAGTTGCATAGCTATATATAGCCAAGGAAGGATTGTAATATGAAGCCAAGAATATAAGTAGAATTGAAGAGAAACATTCTAACTGAATTCTTCTTGAAGACTGAGATAAATTGATAATGATTAAGAAATTATGAGAAAGATACCAATTTTTTCTGGTACTTTGCTAAAAAGTTTTTTGCTGGGTGAATCATATTTTTTAATCCTGGTGGCTTGAATATAAAATGCATGTATTCCTACTTGTCATATCTTTTAGTAGGAAGAAACTTGGAGGCAGGAAGGTTAGGGGGCTCATCTTTGCTTTGTGGAGACCAGTTGAAGTATGTCAGATGGGGAAGTTCAAGTGTCCTTTAGGTCTTGGGGTGGGGTGATAGGATACTCTGTGTGTGTATGTGTGTGTGTGTTTGTGTGTGTGTGTGTGTGATTTGAAGGCAACCGTGTCCTTACATACCCAGCTATAAGGACCCTATGGCCGAGATTTTTAAATTTATATTGCACAACAATCTATTTTATTGTTGTATACTACTTTTAAACATTGATCCTTAAGCAATTGAGTTAATGAAGATTGGGCAGTAAGCTGTCTCTTGTTCCCTTTTTTGCTGTCTCCCCATGGCTGGTTTTCTTAAAGCCTCAATACTTGTGTGATGTGTCATTACACCTCCCACAGTTTTCTGTACTTTAACATTAGTGAGTTGTACTAGATAATCTCAGAGACCCCTCCCACTTCTCCGGTTCTGGAATTCCATGATTTTTATAGTAAGATATCATGTGGAACTCTCAGGCTTGCAGCCTGGACCATGAGGTCGTAAAGCCTTTGTTAGCGAGGCCTTGGTCCTCGCTGAGCATTAACACTTACATTGACTCTGAGTTAATATGAGCCTCTTATTTGGAAGGCTAGCTTGTCAGAAATGCTCTCATTTATTGGAAAGGTGATGCCCAGTCCGTGTGCACGAGGATAAGTGCGGCGTACCGCAGCCCGTGTGCATTTTATGTGCCCACCATCGGTTCGCTTCAGGCTAATGAGAGGTTACTTAGTGTTTCTCAGGTTTAAACACTTGCACTTATTATAATCCAATCTGTTTTCTGGAGAGTGAGTGATCATCATGCAAGACATTATTATTCTTAAAAATGATTTTTTTTTAATCAGCACAGGGCAAGGGATTAACCATGTCAGCATTTTTCTTTTTTTTGTGCCACTATGGCCTTTTTCCCTAATGACTTTTTCATAAATGCCCACTTCTTTTCACTGCTACTTATATATGTTGCTTGTTCTGATTTTCTTAGATCTTTTCAGATTGTGTCATTTCTTCATATCAGACACCATGATCTCATTATAAAAGGCGAACGTACCCAAGGGTGACTGGGACTGTGCCTCTGTTTCTGGAACTCGGGAAAGCTTTTGTCTTCCTGTCATCAGTGTGTTTTGAGCATCTGTTGATAGTATCCTTAGATTCCTTGCTCTCGAGTGGCTGTACCCGTGAAGGAGAGGTGTTTGAACTCTGTAGCTGTCATAAAAGAATACGAAGCATGCTGTTAATAAGGAATTCCTTGTAACTTCTAAATAGCAACAGTAATGACCGTATTGTATGGATTTGAAGCCTGTCATTTTTAGTGACTAAGCATGCAGACATATAAAAGCCCTTTTATTAGGTCATGGTTTATAATTCACTTCTTGAAGAACTGGTGAAGAGAATAGTAATGCACACAGAATACTTTTCATATGACCCAGTTAACATAGCACTAATAAGCTTCATAGTGAATCATTTGGCCTCCCTGGACCTCCATTTCATCATCTGTAGGACGTGGTAGTAGATCTAGAATAGCATTTCTAAGCCTCAGTATGATTGAGATCTGGGCCAGTTAATTCTTTATTGTGGGGGAGGGGCAGTTCTGTGTGTTGTAGGATGTTTAAGAGCATCACTGGCCTCTAACCACTAGATGCCAGTGGCACTCCCTCAGTTCTGACAAACAAAAATGTCTCCCCACATTGCCAAATGTCCCCTGGGGGGCAGAATTGCCCCTGTGGAGAACAACTGGTCTACAATCACATTTTTAAGGTATGTTCAAACTTTATTTATTTTTAATTTTTTTTTTTTTTTTTAAAGATTTTATTTATTCAGTTTTTTCCCCCCAAAGCCCCAGTAGATAGTTGTATGTCATAGGTTCACATCCTTCTAGTTGCTGTACGTGGGACTCGGCCTCGCGTTGGACGGAGAGGTGGTGCCTCGGGGCGCTCCCGGGATCCGAACCCGGGCCGCCAGCATCAGAGCGCACGCACTTAACCGCTAAGCCACGGAGCCGGCCCTATTTTTAATTTTTTTTATTGAGGTAACATTGGTTTATAATATTATAGAGATTTCAGTTGTACGTCACTATATTTCAACTTCTGTGTAGACTACATCATGTTCACCAGCAAAAGCCTAGTTGCCATCCATGACTGTACACATGTGCCCCTTTACCTCTTTTGCCCTCCCCCCACCCTCTTCCTGTCTGGTAACCACCAATCTAGTTTCTATATCTATGTGTTGTTGTTTTATATTCCACATATCAGTGAAATGATATGATATTTGGCTTTCCTCATTTGACTTATTTCACTTAGCATAGTACTGTCAAGGTCCCTCCGTGATGTTGCAAATGGCAAGATTTCATCTTTTTTATGGCTGAGTAGTATTCCACTGTGTTTATATACCACATCTTCTTTATCCATTCATCCATGGAAGGGCACTTAGGTTGCTTCCAAGTCTTGGCTATTGTGAATAATGCTGCAGTGAACACAGGAGTGCATATATCTTTTTGAATTAGTGTTTTTGTGTTCTTTGCATAAATATCCAGAGGTGGAATTGCTGGATCCTATGGTAGTTCTATTTTTATTTATTTATTTTTTTGTGAGGAAGATCATCCCTGAGCTAACATCTGATGCCAATCTTCCTCTTTTTTGGTGAGGAAGATTGGCCCTGGGCTAACATCCGTGCCCATCTTCCTCTACTTTATATGGGATGCCACCACAGCATGGCTTGACAAGCGGTGCATTGGTGCGCTCCTGGGATCCGAACCTGCGAACCCTGGGCTGCTGAAGCGGAACATGCCCCGGGCCGGCCCCATCTGTTTTTAATTTTTTGAGGAATCTCCATACTGTTTTCCATAGTAGCTGTACCAGTTTACATTCCCAGCAACAGTGTATGAGGGTTCGCTTTTCTCCACATCCTCTCCAACACTTGTTATTTCTTGTCTTTTTAATAATAGCCATTCTGACAGGCTTGAGATGATATCTCATTGTGATTTTGATTTGCATTTCCCTAATAATTAGTGATATCAAACATCTTTTCATATGCCTGTTGGCCATCTGTATATCTTCTTTGGAAAAATGTCTGTTCAGATCCTCTGCTAAGGTATATTCAAACTTTAAAATGGTATGATTCTAAGAGTTTGTAAAGATAAAAATGATCAAAGTCTGTGATAAAATTTCTTTTGTGGAGTGACGAATGAAGAACAGAGTTTATTTTACTTTTGCCTTTTTAGAAGGCTTTCTTGATAAGGTTTAAATATTACTATGAATTTGTTGCTTCCATTTGAGGACTCAGTTATCAAAGTGTGAAAGAGGCCACAGGAGAGAAGCATTTGAGCAAACAATGCTTTATGTTTATAGATTAATACATATGGTTGGGCCGGGCTATGCTTCTGGAAGAGTGGTTACTCAACATAGTCGTTAAAGATAAGTCCTGACACATAACAGACATTGTTGAATGGATGGATGATGGCTAGATGGATGGATGAATGAAGGATCTGCAATTGCTAATTCATGTGGCTTTAGGAACAGTATTTCATCAATGACACCTAAAAATGATAGTCACAAAAGCAAAGGAAAGAGGTCGTTGGGTGTGAGCACTACAGAGCCCCTTTCATTTGTCCATGCGTTCCCTCTGGGTACCTTCCTGCCTCTGCTGTTCCACAGCCATTTCCTTACACTTCTCTCCCCAGCCCTATATCCTTACTTGCCTTTTTTTTGCCTTTTATCTTTGTTGCCTGAATTGATTTTATTAGAGCTTTTCATGCTGTATCCTTTCTTTGAATCAAACATCATGATCTCACGAGAAAACAAAACCCACCACGTTTGTGTGTGAATCCACCTCTGGATGTTCCTGAGGGAAGAACTGTTGAATCTTTCTTCTCTGGTTGTGTGAATCAAGTTAGTGATGTGATTTCCTGGTCTTCTTTGAAAATCACTTCCTTTTGATTTTCTTGAGAACCATGTCTTTCTTTGATAATTTATTCTAGAACAATTAAACTTTTTGGTCAAAGGAACCTGTGTTGACAACTGTGATTGATGGATTTCTTCTTTATGTCCCCATAATGCTGTTGATTTAGCACAGAAAAACATTTCCTTCATTTGATGTCAAAGAAATTGAGGCCCCGATTTGTTAAGACATAGAGCCAAGCATCTCCAGTAAGTGAGTAGTCATGCAAGGTTAGAACTGCCAAGCCCAGATGTTGAGACCACGTCCATAGTACCAAGATGGAGGTGGCATTGAAGCAGAGTAGATAATTGGATACAAAAGTATTGAATCTGTGGTACCAGTAAATTGAAACATTTTTCTTTATGTTTCTTTTTAATGTCATAAAAATAATTATCCAGGGTGGCTACTTCATGGTACCATAGCCTTGATTTAATGGGAATATCTTCTCTAAAATGGACAACTTACTTAATATCAAAACTTCTCTTAGTTTTATTTTAGTTAATGTTGCTCATGGTCTGCTTCTTTTCTCTCTTAGACCTTCTCTCACCATGCCTCACAGGAATCTGACAGGAAGCTGCAATGTTAATTGTGGCTGTAGAACGCATGAGTATGAGCCAGTCTGTGGATCAGATGGAATTACATACTTTAACCCTTGTCTGGCTGGCTGTGTTAATAGCGGTAATCTCAGCACTGGGGTGAGTATAATTCACAAATTCCTGTGCTGTTGTTAACCCAACATCCTGTGACAAGGACATGTTAGAATTCGTATGTAAACACATGACTTCGGTCTCCCTTTTCAAGAAACTTCAAATAACCTACAAAATACCTTCTGACAAAAACCCAGAGGAAAGAGAAGTCTGCAATGCTATCAGTTTTTTCCAGGGATGATTGAAGCATTTGGGTCTAGCGATTGGTTCCACGTCAGCCCTCTCCCACTGTACATTCAGTGCCAGCTCAGTGAAACATGATAAGGTTGAGTGCTAGGCCTCTCATTTCTTACTCTGACAGGGCCCTTGTCATGGATTTGAAGGTCAAGATGGCAACAGTGGGTGCTGATAGAAGAGAATAGAGAGCACCTCCGCTGATCAGAGTCTGTGAAGATGGGCAGTGCCCGTTTTCATAGACTATCAGTTCAGACTTTTTTTTTTAACTTTCAGAGTAAAGATATTTCTATCCGTTCAAGATCAGGCTATTTTGAGAATTCCCTTCCCTGTGAATTATAAATAGGCGGTAATACTTTGGGAGAAGGTTTTCATATTCTACTCAGTTCTTTATTGGGCCTGGTTTCATTCTTTGCATAAGAACAGATTGTAGGAGGCTGTTTTAATTAAAAGGTTAAGATGCATTTGCTTGTTCTGTGCAGGTGATAAGGGATTATACTGCATGTTTTTGGAATATCGTATTTGGTTTCTGAGTTTTAAACTATAGCCATAAATTGAGAATTCCTGTTGCTGGCTCTCTGTTGTATAATTGGTGAGCTCCAGTGTGTGACCAAATTGAAAGAGACAATGACATCTATTCTTCTTGGTGGCTCAGTCCTTCCCTGGGAGTGAGTCCTTGGGTGCACAGCCCTCATTCTTAAAAATTGAGGCCGCAGTCCTTGGAGCACAGATGGCCAAATGGTACCCCATCTTCATATTTGTTCCTACTGCCTCTCTAAGTGGCTGAGAGGTCACAATGACAGTGAGTTCAGCTGACGTCCATTCAGTAAAAGCAACATAATAGACATAAAATATTAACTGGCTGTTTGATTTGAAACACCTTTTTAGTCCCTTGGATTAAAGAAGACAGCCAATGATGTGTTCACTCTTGTCGGCACTGAGGTCATCACGATTGCATCATGAATTCTCTGCATTTATTTAACAGATATTTGCTTGAAGTCCTACCCTGTGTTCAGGGTTCTGCTAGGTGCTCTGGTGAGCACAAATAGAAATAAGGCTTGGTTCCTGTTTTTGAGGGGCATCTCTAATAAAAGAGCCCAAGAATTAAACAGCAATTGAAGCAGCATATAGTTATGACCAAAAATGAGCATATGGAATCTAAATGCTATAGGATTGAGTGTTAAGCTTCTTATAAAAGTCTAGGTTTAAACAATTTTGACGAGAAGATTTTGATATTGTTCTATGCACACTTTGGACCCTTACTGTTAGCAGTGAGGAAAATATTTTCAATTAAATATTCTGCAGATTTTAAAATGCTAGAGTTATTATAGAGCATTTTAACTTTGTTTTAATATTCCTATGCTGAATTTTGCTTTTGATTGGCATACAACTGATCTTTATTATCACTTAGATAAGGAATTACACAGAATGCACCTGTGTCCAAAGCCGGCAAGTGATCACTCCACCCACGGTGGGACAGCGCAGTCAGCTCCGCGTGGTTATTGTCAAAACATATCTCAACGAGAATGGCTATGCTGTGTCCGGGAAGTGTAAACGGACCTGTAATACCCTCATCCCATTCTTGATTTTTCTTTTCATAGTCACCTTCATCACAGCATGTGCCCAACCATCAGCCATCATAGTAACACTCAGGTGAGAACAGCATTCGACTTCGAGGGTGGGTTGTACACTCAGAATTGCCAGAATGCATATTCCAGGCTGGAACTGATGTGGGAAAGCAGAGAGGAAAGCAAAATTAGATTGTGCTGAAAAACACTCAGACGTTTGCCTGATGAAGTTAAGAGAAGTGAATTTTCCCATGTCAGGAAGGGAAAGGAAGGTTGTAACATTTCATATTCCAGAACTTTCTTTATTCAAATGGGTTCTATTCCTAGAGTTTAGTGAAACTTCTTTTGGGTGCCTTTGGTTCCTCAAGTCTCTGCCCTGAAAGATTCAACTTCAGGAGCTGAAAGCCGTCCCTGTGTCAGCTGTGGAAAGCCCGGCCCTAGAGGAGGCAGGAAGTCATTTGGTGAAATTGCTAAATCATGCATACAGCAAAGAATATTATCTCCAACCTTATGGATAGTTAATACCTCCAGGATCAGTGACAGTTTATGCTGGGCCTGCAGTTCAAAGTGCTGATTTTCCTAATTTTACTATCATATAAAATTCTGGAGTTGAATCAAGGAAGGGCAGGCTGGGAAATGTAATTCTTCAATTGTTCATGCTGGGCCTTCTTTGCCGTATTATATATCCCATTTATGTTTATTTGCTTATGAGAGAACGTAGAAGTTACCTTAATGGAAGTCCTATTAAAAATGTGGACACCAGCACGTTCAGATCAGTGTGTTGGTGTTTGCAGTAAAGGCTGCAGTGGGCAAAGGAAGGAAGGGGACCCAGCACAGTCAAATGCGGGCGTGGTGAAGAAATGAGAGCACACCCCAGCAGGTCTGTGGGGACTGGGGGTGCAGGGCAGTGAAGGAGTGAGGAGAGGGAGTCATTCTTCACTTTTCTTTCTCTCCTCCCTGGCTCCCCAGCCCCCTACGATGCTGGGCACCCGGTGGGATGCACCAGCTGAGACGCCCTTCTTAGCAGAGCAGTTGGGCTGCAGGTCTGCTTATTCTGCATATTTTGGCTTCCCTTCTAGGGGACGCTGAGTTAGACATTCCCCAGCCAATTTCCTCCTTAACAGTAAGATAAGAGCACATGAAAGGCCCATTGGTTTAGTCACTCAATTCCTCCATCAGCAGATACTTATGGAGTAACAACTCTGTGTGCAGCATTGGGCAGATTGCTACGGGAAAATAAAGAAGTAGGGAAAAGATGACACTGATCCTTGGGAATTTTACATTGTAGACCTAGAACCCTAAGTGTAGGGGATCGAAAGGATAAGGGACTTCATCATTAAAAAAAAATAGGAATCATTAATATTCTAATACTTTGAACTGTAGCTCTACAAGAGGTGTTAAATAATCTAATTCTTTGAACTTTAATTCTACAAAAGATGTAAATAACCCAGATAAGGGCTGCCCATTTTATAGTGTTCAGACATCGCAAATCACCACTTGGCTTTTAACCCAAAACTTCAGCAAAAGAGCCCTTTAATCTTTGCTAATTACAAAATCAATAGGCTCCATTCTTCCTGCCATGCAGCAATTGCTTGGAGTGTAAATTTTAGGAAAAGAAGAAAAAATGAGGTGACTGGGAGGAATTCATTCTTTCTCTAACTTTTGACTTGTTTCCTATATGTTTTTTGACTATTTTTTTTTTAACTTTTTTTATCCATACTTTTCCTTGAGAAATTATGGGAGCAACTTTCTGTATACATACCTACCATTCTGGAAAGTGCAGGCAAATAGAGAAAAAGAATGCAGTAGTTAGGATAAAATGCTATATATTTTTTATAACAGAATTAATTTTGAAGCTCAGTTAAAGCCATTTCTGTCCCTTCAGCCGTGAACTTGGCCCTCCACAGTGTTTGCACAGAAACTGTTGGAGTTAATCAGAGTTTCTTTGGTGTCTTCATTGGGGAGACCTTTGTTCTCTGATTTAACTGTCAGCAGTTTTGCTTGGCTATTGTTACTAAATTCTAGAAAATTAAATATTTTGGCACAGCATCTCTTTGGTCCCTGGCTCTGTGTTAAGCAGGCTTGATTGGACGTTCATTTTCTTGAGGCCACTGTTTTGAGACACTCCTTTCTTTCTCTCCACTGCAGGTCCGTTGAGGATGAGGAGAGACCCTTCGCCCTGGGAATGCAGTTTGTTCTGCTGAGAACACTTGGTACGTCCTGAATTTCCAAGCATGCCTCTCAATTCCTCTTTGCAGACGGCAGATTCTCACTATCCTTTGAAAATGGCAGGTCAAGTCATTTGTCACCATTAGCAGTAGCTGGGATTTTACAGGGTAGCGTGAGGGCACAACTTCCTTATTTTCTGAGTTGAACTAAAAGCCGACCAGCTCTGTCGTTTGATGAAACAAAACCAAACTGACTTTAGAGCAGTTTCTTTTTCACTGTGAACATAAACTTGGGCTAAATTCCCCAGAGAGTTTTGTACAATAAGAAGTATTGAACCAAGCAATTGGGATGGGCTTATGATCCTGGTGTTTTTGTCCCTTCATGCCTTTTTAACATGAAAGTGATGGGAATTGCTGCTCATTTTATTTGTGAAAATGTCAAGTTCTTAGTTCTTTCCAGTAATTTTATTGGACTGGGCAAAGAGTATATCTATCAAGTTTTCTGAGGAAAAGAAATAAGAAATTCTGAAAAGAAAAACAAAAGATCCCTGAATTGAAATGTAGGGACCACCCTTCACTTATTAACAAGAGGAGCTCATTAGCGCTAGGTCAGTGTGGTTAGTCTCAGAGCTCATTGGGGCATGAAGAATATCCTCCTGATTTTACAAACACCACGTCACTCTGTGATGTCTTGGGACAATGCATGGGAAGTAGCCCATTCCCTTGATCAATTTCAATGTATTTTTAGTTGACTTCCTCATCAGCAAGCTTATTTTTTCTTTCTTCAGTGGCAGTCTATCATTTTCTTCAGGTGTTATTTCCCCCAGTAATCAATATCATTGTCCATAGGTCAAAAAAATTAGTTTTTTGATTCAAATTTTTTATTTCAGTTTTGAAGGGTGAAACATTTTTAAATGGTGTCATCTGATCTTTGAAACATTAATCCTCTCTGGAATTCTCATTTTGTCGTATGTTGTGATTGATGGCTCAGTCCAAGAATGAACACTTTCCAGTGAGCCTCAAAGGCTTCTAGTTGCTTTGAACACATGGCTTGTTTTTTGGTACCAATAAAACTTTGAAGCTACCATTTTTCAAAGCATGGTGATTAAAGGAAATTCTGACATACTTTGGTATAGTTAAGAAGTTTCCTTATACTTCTCATTGGAAACTAAAGTTATTTTCAAAGAAGGAAATTTGTTGAAAAGGGGTAGTTGAATAGGAAAAGAAAAAAATAGTTTCTCCTTTTTGCTTGGCGTATCTGCGTTGCCATGGAGTTGGGGCAATTTGATATGGATGCGGAGCTAAAGGTAAGTCAACAGATGGACAGACGCTGCAGCATCAGGAATGGGGCGGGGGAGAACATTTCAGGCGTTTATTGTTTAATTCAACCTTAAGTTCTATTGATTATGAAGAAGTATAGCCAATTTCCATTTCCCCAAATTCCAAAGCAAAAAGAGAGTTTTAAGTATTTTAATAATGTTAAATTTTAATTGTAGCAAATATACCTCATTTTAAATGAATACAATGTATTTAAAAATGTATCACTCACAGCCTCCTGGGCTATTAGCCCACCTGTCTTCTCTCCCTTCCTCCTTCGCTCCCTTCCTCTCATCACTTCCTTCTGTAAACTCTTATTGATGATCCCTGGGCTGTCCTGATAGGTCTTTGGAATGTAAAGAATAAAAGTCATGGCCCCTGCCATCAAGAGCTTATGGGTGACAGCTTTGCAAACAATTTAAATACTATGTGATAGTTGATAAAATGGAGGTATCTACAAAATGCAATTGGAATATAGTGGCATCTGAGTGAGTCAGGAATTTAAAGGAGGGGTAGAATTTTGCAAGGTGAACAAGTTGGGGATGGGGACACATTTCAGCAAAGGTAGTAACATGTGATGAAGGAAGTCTATTTGGGTAGGCTTTCTTTCCTATGAGAGTAAAGGAATGTCTACCTCATAGCCCAAACAAAGAAGCTACTACTCATCACAGAAGTTTCAAAAGCTTCAAAGATGAATTTTATGCCGTAATCATTTCCATACCCCAAGCGCCTTTAGAAAGTTGCCATTTGGTGTGGTTTCTGACTTATAAGGGGACAATGCTTTCCTTATACTCTTCCTGCATCCAAGGACTAGAACCCAACCCACAAGAGCTAAGTGTACTGAATTTTAGTGGATCATGAAGGGTTCTAGTATAGCCTCTTGAGTATTTAATGACAGAATCTGATTTCTAAATTTAAAAGGATTCCTTAATTGCATTTTTAGCAATAGACATTTTTATAATCCTAAAAATCATTAATACATTCTAAGTTGCAAACTGGAAGATTTAAAGCATTTACAATTTTTATTTTATAAAATAAATTTTTTATAATAATAATAATTATAAATTATTATAAATTTATAATAAATATATTATGATAAGGTGTGACACATATTTTAAAAAATCAAGCAACACAAGAAAACCACTCGCCTCAACTGAGTTTAGAGCCAAAAAGCACCTTGCCAATTGACAAATCTGTTTTCTCTTATAAGATGTACTAAGTATTTTTCTTTTCTTTTTCTCTACCACTCTAGCATACATTCCTACTCCGATTTACTTTGGAGCAGTTATCGATACCACCTGCATGCTCTGGCAACAGGAATGTGGAGTGCAGGGCTCCTGCTGGGAGTACAATGTGACATCGTTTCGTTTTGTCTATTTCGGTTTGGCGGCCGCCCTCAAATTTGTTGGCTTTATTTTTATTTTTCTGGCCTGGTACTCCATTAAATACAAGGAGGACGAACTGCAGAGGCAGAGGTGGCGAGAATTCCCCCTGAGCACTGTGAGTGAGACAGTGGGCCACACTGACAATGCCGATAAGTATGCCCGGACTAGATCCTGCCCAGCGTTCAGCACCCAGGGAGAATTCCACGAAGAGACTGGTCTGCAGAAAGGGATCCAATACACAGCACAGACCTATCCGGGGCCCTTCCCAGAAGCAATAAGTTCCTCTCCAGACCCAGGGCTGGAAGAAAGCCCTGCTACCATGTAGCCTCCCTCCTGAATCTTGAAAACGGAAGACTTTAGTTTTGTTGGTTGAGTTGAATATGGCGACTTGAGAAACACCCGTGCCTTCTTTTCTTTCTTTTTTTAACCTCTAAAGACACAATCCTCAAACCAACAAAACTCAGTATACACAGCCACTGTTGACTGAGGGCTGGATACCTCAACAAGACTAAGAGCCTTTCCCCCCTTCTCTCCAAGAAGGAGGCGTGTAGATTTGTTACCATTTCTGCTATGTTAATTTAATGCTCATGCTCTAATGTGGTATCAGGCTGAGGCACATGGTTAACAAAATCATCAGAAGTGCAATGGCGGTGCGTATCATTAGCATACACTCCAAACAAAGGTGAGCTTTTGACCATGACTTTGCATTTACAAGTCAAAGTTTTTAGACATGAACACCTACTGTGAGTTCTGCTACAAAGCACAAATGAATTTGCCTCAACTATGCAATTTGATTGGGAAAATATAAGTGCAGCATGTTATTTTGCTTTCAGAAACTAAAGCAGATATGTTTTTGAAAAAAGGAAGCTAAACTTTCCCTAAAGTACTGTTAATAGCATTTTAAGCCATAGCGGAGTTATAAATCAGGTAGAATTTTTCAAATGCTTCAAAGGAACCATATGCATAGGGTGATAAAAGGAACAGCGGCCTCATTTCATAAGACACATTCTCTTTTAGTCTGTCTGCCCCATCATAAGGTAGTGAAAGAGGCTACTGAATCATAAATCTGATAGCTTCAATATAAACGCCAGGATTCTTTTGTAAGGGGCTTTAAGTCTAGTGTCCTAAACGATATGGCTAGAAACTGTAATTTGAGATGCATAATAAGGAAAGAAAGTGATGGCTTTCTCATCCAAAGAAAATTGCTGCAGAAATTCTTTTAGCTTTTAAGGGCCCACGTAAGTGTAGTTAAGAATTGTAACCTTGACACTCAGAATAGTTGGAAAAAGAAATTCCACAAAAGTAAGATTGAGTCTCACCTGATCATTTTAGTTATATACCTGGAAGCACTAGCAAGTCTGTATTGTTTTCTTTTTTATGGAGAGAAGATTGCTGTGGTTGCTCCTGAAATCGAGTAATTATATCAGGGAAGCTATACTATGATAGGAAAGTCACTTTGAGTACAGGAAGAGGGAGATCTGTGAGCTGGATCTAGAATATGATCCGAAGTCATGATTGAAAATTGTTTAAAATGAACTGGTCTGTCATACTGAATCTTACTTTAGCAGAGTTAGAATCATTTCACACCTCCCTTTGATTCCTTCCTACTGTAACCTCCGTGACGTGATTCTGAGAGAGGATTTTTCTGTTCCTAAACACACTTTGGGTTCATTATCCATCATCCTTTTCAGTACCACCCAGCACATCACTTGGACTTAGGCACCACACAGAATGCTTTCTACATGGTTCTTATGGTAGATGCCTCCTGAAGCACTGTAGACTGATTGCAGGTTAACTCATGGGATCTCGCTGCTCAGAAAAAGAATCATGACAACTCAGATTTAGGAGGGACTGTGAGGTCCAAGTACCAATATAACTGTGAACTGTTTCTGCCAAGGAGCCTATGCTTATGTAGGGCTAATTTGAGAAGTGGTTTCCTTGGCTGCTTTACACTCTTTCACAGAGGGGATATGATTGACAGAACTGCCCCATGAGTCAGGCTTTTTGCCCTCCATCCTTGGCTGTACCAGTAGAGTTTCGTGAATATTCCTGGGTACAAGGTTGTTTTCCTCTCTACCGAGGAATGGCATTGGCTAAATGATTCTCTTAGTTGCATGCAGTTTGTGGAGAGGGTTATCACTATTAGACTTAAAAATGTCTACAAGGGGTGGGCCAGTGGTCTCAGGTGACAAGGACTTCCTTTTGAGCAGTCTCGTTTGGCTCAGTTGTAAGAACCAGTGTTGCCTGTAATTACACGGGTGTCTGTCAAACTTTGGTCAACATGGTGTATATTGAAGGTCTTCAGAGAATATCACTGATTAACCTAGTGTCTACTCTGGGCCTCAGGGTTCCCCTTTTCCCTTTATGGGAGATCTTTGATCCCTTAGAAGAGAAAGTTTCCTTTTGTGTTGGAGCTAAAGATTTGTAGGTTGGGGAGAGGTGGTATTTTCTTAATTTTCCTCTGATGGTTAAGAAACTGCATTGAGAGAATTTTGGTGGGATTGGCAGTTTTTTATTTGTAGCTAAAGATTGTGTGTTCCAACAGTCTTAGAATTTCTCTCTTCTTGGTAGTACATTTTGAAAAGGAGCCTCTCTCAGAACTCCAGGCTAGGAAATGATGGACTCATCAGGTATAAATAGAGAGTACTCCCCTTCTCTACCTTGAACAGTCATCCAGTTCAGCCAGCACTGGCGGGAAGCCAGTTCTCTATCAGGCACCCTTTCACCCAATTACCATCTGCCACTCTGTGAAATCCTTTGAGCTGATTAGGCCAGAATTGAAGTCTAGCCTATTAATTGGCCTGAATTGTGCACCACAATGTTAACATTGTACTTCCTCGAGTATCCAATACCTATAAATAGCAGGTGTATCATTAACGTTTTGTTGGTGAATGTAGAATAAGTAGTACAAATCATGGGCGACTGAAGTTCTGGAATAAGTACCAATTAAGAGTTGTCCCCAAAGTGCTTTGGGCTCTGGTAGCATCATTGGAATATTACATAATCAACTTGAGCAACTATTTTATAGATGATACCATTTAATTGTACATATGAGGTTCTTATATGATTGTTAATAAATTAGGCCATGTTACTTTATAGTCACGGCTCCTGTTATAAGTTGAATTGCCACTCTCCATGAGCTTAGGCTTCTAATTACTTGGTTTGAGGAAAGGTCATCTTATTCCTTTATAAACTCTGTAGATTCATATATTATTTGGCTTTAATATGCAAATATAATGTCCTTGAGTCTAGCCTATTAATTGAGACACTGCTGGCCAGTGGGGTGGGCGGTTGGAGCACATTCTTTTGGTTATCTTCATTAGAATGAAAGCCTTATCCTTTGTAGGTGGATTTCATTCTTGAAAACAATCAAAAGTCATTCAGAACTAAAGTGGGGGAAGAAAGGAGGAGCAGAGAGGAAACAAGAGTAGCATTTGTTGAGTGTTGATTATTTGCAGAACCTTTTGTCAAGCACTTACTATACATCGTTCATTTTAATCCTCTGAATGACTTTGCAAGACAACTATTTTTATTTGATTTTTAAAAACAGATGATGAAAACCGAGGCTCAGAGAGGTAAAGTGACTTGTTTAGGATTGTACAGAGCAGCCAAGTCAGGGTTCAGACACAGGTTTCTCCGTCTCCATGACCCCCTTCTTACACTACGTAATGCACACAATAGTTTTGGTCAACAAAGGCAAGAAGTGACTATAAGATACTGCAGTAAAGCATGTCATTTTTTGATGTGTTACTGTTTCTGAAGAGTAGAGAAGTCGTTATTTCTTTGTGTAAAACAGAAAAAAATTCTCTAGGAAACATCAAAATTTAATGTGTAGATTTTCAAGGTAAATTTACATTTATTTAGCTAAGTGTTATATTCAGAATCGTTTGTCATAATATACCTCAAGTATTTATTTCTTGTTCATATTTAATATAGAACAAATCCAATTTTGGTGTTAACGTTGAATATCCGTAGAGTTTCTGAAATGAAACAGATGAGGAAAGGTGGTTCAGATTAATTGAATCTGAGCTTTGGGGATTTCAAGTGTATGCTTTTTTTTTCCCCCTCTTTCAGAATGTTAACATTTCCATTAGTCTTTTGGTGAATATCAGTTTAAGTTTCATAATAAAAGTTTTAAATGAACATATACAAAGTGTTACATGTTAAATGAACATATACAAAATGTTGTAAGTTACATCCCAAACCTCTGACCCGATTGTTGCCTGTTAACCGTTAGTAGCAAACTGGAGCATGCACTTGGAAATGTCAGCTATCAGAGAAGGGAGTTACCTTTAGGACATAATGGCAGTCCTACATTTTCACCAACCACCGAGAAAATTCTTCCTCAGTCCGCAATTCTAGCTTGCATTCGTTGGTGGACTTGGAACCAGAAAGTTTCTTTTTGGAGCCTGTTTTGTATCAACTGTAGGTGCACCAAAGAGAAGCTTCATAGTTTGAATGTATCTGAAGCGTTTGTGGAAATTCTCTAGTGTGCCCAGGAGCAGCAGGAGAGCCTAAGTCTGCGGTGGTAGCCAATTATACTTTGTGATTTTGTGTGTACTTAAAACATCTGAAATGGCACAGAAACATGAATATAACTATTGATACATAGGTGCATACTGAGTATTCTAAGTAGCAGATAGATATCAAAATACTGTATAATCCCAGAATCGCCTAGACTGCAGGTTTGCTAATTCTCTGTTACACAGACCAGTAGGTAGCCTTTACAGGTTTTTGCATTTTTCTTTCACAGTACTGAAGCGAGTGCCATGGCTGGCAGGCGAAGTTAGTGGCCTTGTGCGCTTTCTCTTTTCTGCCTTCTTTCCTTTCCTCATCTTCCAGGATGCTGCTGGCTGTATCTGTCCCAGACTTCTTGCTACATTGGAATCAGATCTGTGTATATTTGAAGACGTTATTTTAAGCACTTCATTTTTACTCAGCCCTAGGAAGGGTCAAGAATGATGAAAACTCTCCCTGGGTATTTGCTTTTGCAACATTAAAAAAAAAAAATGCCTCGGTGCTAAAAGTATTTGATGATGCATGCTTACCACAAAAATGCGCCACAGAATTCACAGTATTTCACTGATAAGGGACTGCATGTGCTTTGCTTTTGGAAATCTGAAGAACTTCCCAGAAAACAAGTACTCATTACTCTCATTACTACAGTTAATCCAAGAACGTTACGTGCAAAAAGGAAGAGTGTAAGGGGGAATACTTTTTCTATGGAAAAACTCAGCGCTTTTGATATTTATTTTAGCAAGAATAATCAGATGCTAAAAATAATTTCAGAGAGAGGGGAAAAAATATTTCGGATAATCTTTTCTTATTTCTTCTCCAAAACACTTACACCATGTAAGGTGTTTTTAATATTGGGGTTTTGAAGGTGTTGTCTTCTTCTCATATTCTACTATTACATGTTAAAATCCAAGAAGAAGATATTATTGAAAACTAAAGTAATTGCAGGGAGATATTAAACCAAAGGGGTGAACAAAAGAAGTTTAAAGTTTGTATCTAGACATGAAGAGTAAGAATAATTGGAAAGACTTTATAGTGGGCATTTTTCTTAAAATACATACCTCTACCCAAAACCCCAAATGTTAATTTAGAAGCACGAAACAGGCAGGTCAGCCTCTAACTCTTTAGTTAAAGGAAATGTAATACTGTGTCAAATAAACTGTCATTAGGATCCTAGTGGAGTGTGTGTGTTCAGCGTGTGTGTTTTTGTGTGTAGAGGTGTGCTTGTGATGAAAGGCTGTTTTGAATTGTTGCATAAAGGAGTTTGATTTTGTGATTTTTAAAAATGAATATTTATTTGGAGACCTCTTAGGGTAATTTAAAAGATGTATAATTTCCTTGTGTTTAATGAAATCTATTGTCAATGTACTAATAAACCTTGGTTTACAACATCTCGAATACTTGATCATTGAAAATTAAGAAAAAAAGTAAAAAAAAAAAAGAATAAAGCGTGTTGGATTGAAATTAGTTTGTCTCAGGATTTTTGTTGTTTGAAGAGACAAAGCAATGATGCCAGTGTGATCTCCCATCCCTCCCTCAATGAAGACACGGGTTTGATGGGATTAAATGGCCCACTACTTACTCTGAAAGATGGCAGTAATGAACTCCTTATGTAACTGATAACTCTGCCTTGAAGCCAAATGTCCTACCTGTAACCTATTAGGACTATAGTTTTAGGAGCCTGCAGTAAGTAGCACACTTTCCATTGAGTCATCAAAGAGAATAATTTTAAGTAGTTGATCACTTATCGATTTAAATTCAAACAGATTTTGGGATTGCAGAAGTATGTGCCTTGAATATGGTTTGTTAGGACAGGCTAAGTTATGCTTCTACAACACGCTAATCCTCAAATCTCAGTGGCTTCATAGCACAAAGTTTTATTTCTCATTTCCATTACATGTCTATATGGGTCTATTCCACATAGTCCGTCAGGGACCCAGCCTGACAGAGGCTCCGCCATCTTGAAGCCACGCTTGAAGCCACACTTCAAGGTGGAACTTTCAGGGTTGATCTTAGTTGCAAGGAAAGGAAGAGCCCAGAGAAAGGCAAAGGGGCTTTTCTCTTTCTCAGCCCAGAAGTGACACGTGTCGCACTGCATTAGTCTGAACTAGTTCCATGTCCCTGCCTAACTGCTAGGTCCTGGAAGTGTAGGGAAGCCAATGGTGAGTATTTGGTGGGTATTATTCTTTGCCAAACAGTTGACCCTGATAGGTTAAGGATGATATCCAAAGGAGTCTCAACTCCTTGTTCTAAAAACTGGTAAACAACGGGAAAGTCTCAAGCATAAGAAAGAATGATTTCCAAAGAAGTAAGTATCAAAACTTGGTCAACAAAGCAGTTACAAGCTCTCTTTCCCCAATCTACACTAAATAACAAACTAGTCATTGCTATGGGGGCCCAGGAGCTGGCCTGAGACTGGAGGAAGAACTGGTGCTCAGACTCCATCCATGGAGAAAAAGCACTAGATTTTGAGGTCTCTTCTGACGGACGGCAGAATTTTCTAAGTACACTGGCATCTAAAACTTTCCGGTGAGAGGCGGAAGGAGGTAAAGGAGCCATGGAAATAACAGCATGATTCAGGGACTGAAGCACAAAGTGGATATATGTAGAACCCTGCCTTGACCACTAGATAGGTGGAAAGCAGGGCAATTGATTTCCATTTCTCACTCCGTCACCCCATTGCACACTTAAACGAAAGGGTCACAGCAGCCCACGGCACGTGAATTATTGGAGAGAGTGCGTGTGTCTGTGCTCACTTCTGGGTAAACTCTTATTTTCCTCCACGGCTTTGTGCATTTATCAAGGGAGCCATTTATTCAAAGAGCATATAGTAACCCCTGCCCAAGTCTTCTCCTCAATCTATGTGTGCAATGTAGGCAATAGCATTTCTCTCGAATCTCTTAAATATCGCACACTTTCAAGGAAGAGGCTGAGTCATTCTGGATATTGCGCTTTTTGAGATAGATAGACACATGAGGAAAAGTTTCTCTTCAAGAAATGAAGAGAGCGGAAAGGTTATGAATGTGGCCACTCATCTTCCTAGCTTTAGCCGCAGACTTGGTACAACCTCAGCCTTTTATGAGCTGTTAAAAAGCATCCAGTTCCTTTCTTGTTTTTAAAATTGCCAGCTGGGCAGAGACGGCCTCTGTAGCTTCGGCGTATGGAAGCCAAAAAACATTTTTAATTGCACAGAGTCATTGGAAAGCAAGGCGATGGATATTCGGTGCTCACTTTTGAATTTAAACGTCAAAGTTTGATGCAGTTCCAACTCCTAACACCGATATAAATCAGTAGAAAGCTAAAACCGCTCTTGGGCCTGCTGGAATGGCTAAGATCCTAGGCGCTGAAGAAAGAGCAAGCCTGCCATGGATCAAGTTGTTCTAGATGTGTTCTTGTGAAAATGGTAGTGCTGCTACTTTAGAAATCAATGTAAGTGGTAGCTTTGCCAGGGGGCAAGTCCTGGCTCCCAGCAAAGACGTCTTTAGTTGCACTAGAGTGACACCTAATGGCCATTATGGAAAACATGCTCTACTGATCCCCTGGCTCTTCTGGTTCCTGGGTTGAGTGGTGTGTGACCAGATAGGCATTAGGGTAGCAAGGTTGATGACCTCTTCTTTTCTGCTAAAACCTGTTAGTGGTTGGATTGGTTCCATTCTGGCTCTGGGTCACCTGTGTTGTTGGGGCTGGGAGGTGGAGTAATGTCTGGGAAGAGGAATGGGGGTAGAGGATGCAGATTCTGAATTCGAGTCCTGGGAGGCCCACTGGTGTGGGGACTAGAAATTCAGAACAGCGGTAGATACCTTGGCTCACCAAGTCCATTTGCCAGCAGAAAAGCAAGGCAATACTGAGTACAAAAGACCTCAACCTTTGTAGCTCCCTCTGCCCCCCAATCCTCTGCAGTGCTTCCCCTAACACCAGGGAGCGGGGACTCCCTAGTCCCAACAGGACACAATCTGATTGTTGAAAGCCATTTTCTCTACTTACTTCATGCAGCAGTGGGCTCACTATAAAGCCCAAGGTACTCTGCTGGTGAGGTCCCCACGGCAACAACACAACTTAGAAGAAGGTGAACTGACTAGACCAATACAAGCAATAGTCACATGAGGTAAGTTTCCTGGTCAGCAATGAGGGGAGGAGCAAGGTTATAAATGTAGCCAGTTATTCTTCTCTGTTGGCTCCAGACTTGGTACAACATGAATATTTTCTTACTTGGGGGAGAACGTAAAGGGGAGAGAGATTATGTCCAGGGGTGGGGGACTCCAGGAAAGTTTACATGGAAGGAAAACGTACAGTTTGAAACGATACAGGAATGAGGAATGAGGTGGGGAATGGGGATATACTCCAGGTGGGTGGATAGAAAGTTAGAGAAAATTTCATACCTGGGAAGGTGGCACCAATCCAGGGGAAGCCAGTAGTGACAGGTGAGGTGGAGAGGGGAGCAGGTGGCTGGACGGAAGGCTAGAGCTGTACAGAGGGCATTAAAACTCGTTGAAGATGTCTGAGCAGGAGGCTGAGATCTGAGCCGCGGCAATGAAAGCCTCACCCGGCGGTGAGTGTGAGATGTGTTGGAGACAGGAGGGGCTGGAGGTGGGAAAGGGGCTTAGGGGGCTATTACAGCTTCCACAGCAGCTTCTATGTCATGAGGGCCTAAATGAACAGGGTGGTGGACCATATCAAGGTATTAATTGCTCTAGATATTTTAATTATCAACCAAAGATCTTTGTTTTCTTTCAAAATAAATTTTGAAAATCTCAAGCAGAATTGGACTAATTTGGGGAATTGAGGACCTTCTTATATCTGAGATCAGATCAGCTCTAAAGCAAGTCCTGAAACATAAGCATTTAAAAATCTTTTTTAGAACGTCAACATGTTCAGGTACGTTTGGCATGGGGTGGGAGTGTTAAGTATTCATTCCTCTCTCTTAACAAAACACCCTGTGGGTGCTGATGGTCATAGGAATTTTTTTCTTTTTTTTAAAGAAGCCTGGGTGGAGCCTCAGATATTATCAAGTTTGGGTGTGGCAAATGTGTTTTCGTCTCACACCCCAAAACCAATTCAATAGTGTTGATAGTAGCTGGCTGCGTTGAGAAGAATTCTGAGGACACAAATGCTCTAGCTTAATGGAGACGTGTCCTCATGAATTAGCAGTGTCTTCCCTGGACACATTTTGGGAAAGGAAAGCATATATGCTATGTAGTTGCCATCCTTGATTCAAAACTCTTATTTTATAGTTGGGGAAGCTGTCGTAGAGAGGTTAGGTGACTTTTCCAAGCTCACACAGGTAGTAAAAACTAGAGCTTGCAGTGAAGTTAGGTCCTCAATTTTCATGTCCATTGTTCTTTCCATTACTCCTTACCAATTGGGTCCCACTGTGGCCTCTCTTCCCGATTTAGTGTGTTTGAGGGCTGGGGGTGTGTGTGCATGCACGCATGTGTGTTGAAAAGGAGAAAGTGAAGAGGGATTTGTCCTCGCCTCTGCTAAATCTCTTCCTCTTCTAAATCTGTGGGGAACAGGCAGATGGGAACCAGCTCAGCCCCTGTGGGCGTCAGCATCCTCACAGATCAAATGAGGCTGGCTGGCCAGCCAACCTCTAAGGGCACTTCAAGTTCTGGAATAGTCTCTCTTGTGCCCTTTACACATAGTAGGTACTCCATAAATAGTTATTGACTTGAACTAAAATGGAATTTTCTCCAGAATAGCAACATTTGGCCTATTCGCATTCTCTAGGGAAGGAACAAGGAGTAAGGTACAATGATGTGCCTTTGGACAACACTATCATCTTGGATTCTTCTCTTGATGAAACTACGGTGCTATAGACTGAATTGTGTCCCTTCAAAATTCATACATTGAAGCCCTAATCTCCCGTGTGACTGTATCTGGAGATAAGGCCTTTAAAGAGGTAATTAAGGTTAAATGAGGTCGTAGGGGCGGGTCAGTCCAATATGACTGGTGTCCTTATAAGAAGAAGAGATGCTGGGGAGGCCATGTGAGGACACAGCAAGAAGGCGGCCATCTGCAAGCCAAGGAGAGAGGCCTCAGGAGAAACCAAACCTGCTGGCACCCTGGTCTTGGACTTCCAGCCTCCAGAATCGTGAGAAAATACGCTTTTGTTGTTTAAGCCATCCAGTCTGCAGTATTTTGTTATGGCAGCCTTAGCAAACTAATATAGACGGTTTCCTCAATTGCCCAGGGATTGAGTTGGCAGATCCCCAAGTCCTTTGCTTTTTTTTTCCCTTTATTATTCACCTTCTGATCGCTGGACATTTCACACATTGGTAGCCCCTCTATCTGAAGGGGATAAAGCTCCTCAGGAGACGTGGAGCAGAAGGAAGTGTATGGAATTCATCGGTTAGAAAACTTGAGGTCTTAGAAGGTGGTTAGGTCGCCACCCAAGTTCACTGTCCCGAAATAACCCAAACTGCCTTTGGTGGGTTTGTCCTTCTGCTTTTGAGAAACTCCATTTGCGCTGCCCAGGACCGGCTACATACCTGGGTTCAGTGAAAAATAAAAACGTGGGGTCCTTCGTTCAATTAGTAAGGATTTCAGGATGGTGACAGTAGAGAATTAAACCACGCACTGGCCCTGGGTAACTGCCCAGGGTGCATGCTCGGGAAGCCACCCTCGTGCCGACTCTGCCACACCCTCCCTGACAGCAACGAGGCAAATCCATGTTGAAATCACTGATCTGAGAATGTTCTGTAACACACTGACTTTGGGTCAATTTTATGATTATGGCTAATATTTCATCATGTAGATTAAGATCAGGACTCAATTTTACTTGCGAGGAATGGGTGGACCACAAAAACTTGGTTAAGTTCATTTCTCTGAAACAGGTAAAGTTTAAACACCTTTTATTTCAAGAAATATTGCTTCCAGACTTTCCTGAAGCCAGAATTGTTCTATAAAAGTATCACAGAATATTACACAAGATTAAAAAACACAGTATGCTTCCTAATACCTTGAAACCTTTTTACAAAGCACATCATTCATGACCATAAATATGTTTCTCCTGTCATTCAGCCGGTGACACACACATCTGATAAAGAGCTAGTTAATTTTAACATATGTACAGAGTGTACGATAAAGACTTAAAGTTGTCAAAGATTCAACTATAACATTAAATTTTCTTTAAACGAGTTTACTTTAACACACTTAAAACATAATTTACCTATGCGTTTGAATTATCTAAAGAGAAAAAGAAAATCACTGTTAAACTCAAAAAAACCTTCTTGGGAAGTTGACCAGGGTACTGATAACTCTCAATGAGGTAATCCTTTTGCTGGTATTTAACAATCTAATACATAACAAGAATATTTTCAAGAACACAGAATTTCGAAAGTAGTTTTGAACTATGCCCTAGAAAAATCAGAATTTGGTGAAGGCCTTAAAAATAATCATACAACACATATGATATGTTTCAATTACGAAACATTCATGAGCTTGTTTTATTGAAAAAAATTCCTTACATAAGTTCAAAACCAAATATATTTTCTCAACACTTAGGCTTATTAGCCAGGTCAAGAAAACAAAACAAAGATGAAAAAAAAACACAAGTCTTCAGTCCTGTTATCGTGTTAAGAAAATAATAAAAACTTAGCAATCTTAAGCATACGATGAACACTTTGAGGCTAGGCACAGAGACAGCAGGCAATCTTTGTTTTGCTTATTTATTTATTTTTACTGCCAACATCATTAGCCATGCCTTTCTGCTAATCAATTTTAGCAAGTCGAGGTAAAACACATGCAATATTTTCTGGCAAAAGCGTATGTTAAACAATATGTGATCCACACTGTGTGTTGTCCTTGAGGGTCTATTTTACTTTGTCACACTGAGAGCAAGCAGTGAGACTGTGACAAGCCTATAAAAAAAAAAAGTAAGACTAACCAAATAGACATGGCATTCCAACCTCAAAGTGCAAAATCACTGAACTAAAAATGATGGCATTGAAAAATTCCAGTGGTTAAAAATGAACCCAAACCACATTATGCAGGCAATGGAAGGTGTACTGAAAAATTCACCGAGTATGTCAAGTTTCAGAAACTCAGCAAGGCACGATTCTAGCCATCTCGACTGGATAACATTGATATATGCACGTCCCTACAACTTTCAAAACATAATACTGTTTTAGTACCCCCAAAACAAACAAAAACCCCACAAATCCACCTTTCTTTGTACTCTTGACAAATAGTGAATTACAACACTGAATCCCTGTGTGCGTACCACTCGCATGCGCACTAATGTCTACTGCACATGTGTACCTAGGGTGGCTTGGAATGTTGGTTGTCATGATTGCCTTTATTAGTTTACTAATAAAAAGTTAAAAAAATACTGTGTTTACGGTAAGGTAACAATTTCATCTAATCTGAGGAGACTGGAAAGGAGGCACTGCCTTCTAGACTCTGTAAACTCCCCTTTTTGGGATCCTCCTCCACCTCGTTCGACATCCTCTCCAGGCTGCTGGAGTTAATATGCTGCTCCATGGTGGATACTTTGATGGTCTGATGCGTAGAATCAACATCAGAATGCACAGGAAGATACATCTGATCTTCAAAAACATCTTCTCCTGGACCTCCATCCTGGGGAAGTTCCTTCTGGTGCCTGCTAATGGGCGGCAGTCTGGGGCTGGGCTCCAGCACCAGCTCTGTCACGCCATTGCCACTGAAAACAGTTTCAAGATGATTTATCTCTTCATGCTCCAACCGTTTTTCAGTTTTATGATTTCTCCAGTGTTCAGAATTCAAACGACTAACTTCTGGAATGTTGTTATTCCATTCAAGTTTATTCTCTGGACTGAATGTTGGTCGGTTCAAATGTAGGGTTCGAAGGTCAGCTGGCAAGGTCAAATAAGGTACTTCCCAGACCGAAGGACTCGAGTCTTCATCTGACTCAGCGGAGGCCATCTCTACTGGCACAGAGAGCTCAGCAGATACGGCCGGGAACCCACCACTTTGAGCAGTTTTAGTCTTATTTGTTTTATTTTGCTCACGGTGACTGTTCAGCAGTGCAAATACTCTATCTACATCCTTCAAGTAATTAGTCCAGTCAACCAGACTAAGTCTGTAGTTTTGTCTGTACTCATAGGCGCTTTTGTTCACACTGTATAAATCCTCCAGGCCTTGCCAGTTGACGTCTGCAGTGAGACTGGGAAGATTAACCTTCCCATCCATCCCATAACTGTCCTCTGTGAAAAGAGAGACCAAAGTGGATCATTAGTGGAGAAAATATTTCCTACTTATTGGACAAGCAACTTACACTGTTTTTACAGAGCAAATCAACTTGAAATATAACACTAGAAAGTATTTTCCCCTAGTACTTTGTTATCAAGGAGTGGCCTTAGGTTATAAAAGTGATTGAACAGTAACAAAAAATTGGAAAGAGGGTCAAATGAGTGAACACTTCTATGATGAGGCATGTTTGGTGCTGGAAATGTGCTGTTCTATCAGTCAAGGGGCTTGTGTTCTACTCCTGGTTCTACTCAAGTCAACTCTGTAACCAGGAAATCATGCGAGGGAGTTTCTCTGTCTTGGTCCTTCACTGTCGACTGTGGGACCAGTTGTGTGATAAAACCTTTACTACTTATGCGGTTGCTGGGTGAATGATGGATTTGAAAGCATTTTAATGTAATAGGCAATGCTTAGTAAGATATTTTTATTTATATTCCCTGGTCCTCAGTATAAAAACAAACTTGAATGCAATTAAACTCTTCAAATCAAATGCTTAGATCTGTTTCTTTGATTGTTTTTTTGCCCTAAAAGTTCTATGGCCTGGATAAATCAATCTTTCAGTGGTTTTCACAGTATGCAAAGAATGCACCAGCTTTCTCTCTCTCAGATCTTTCTACGTCACTGAGATGACTACAGTCCTGCAGAAAACGTCTTTTCTCTAGTTTGCCCAAGTACCATTCTAAAGAGGTGGCCTCATTAATGCAATGAACTACCCACAAAACAGTAAAGATCAGCAGGAAAAATAAGTAAAACTACACAAAACCCACACTCTCAGTATAACTAGATGATAGAAAATTACATAATCTTCAAATCACCTGTAAGTAATTGTTAATTACTTGCTACATTGTTTTTTTTTTTTAATTTTATTTATTTATTTTTTCCTCCAAAGCCCCAGTAGATAGTTGTATGTCATAGCTGCACATCCTTCTAGTTGCTACATTGTTAATACCAATCTCAGCAGGGCTGTATGCCACACTTTGGGCACAAGCCCTGGGAAAATAGTACAGAAGAGAGAAGAAGGAAGCAAGGCTGGAGGCAAGAATTGATTTGAAACCACCACTGGAAAGAATGTCGACCTGAAGTATAAAGTACTGTGAAGGGTCCTGGTAAATGGCAGTACTGATAGTGAGAAGGAGACCTAGAAGTGTGCGTGCACCCAGGTGGCAGTCTTTGAAAGGCATTGCTTCAGGGAGAAAAGGATACAAGGGGAGGGACAAATATCCTTCGGAAACTGGAAAGAGGAAGCAAAAGGGAGGAAATTTCAGGTCCTGTAAGAAAAAAGAGAAACAAAAAATTGGAGGACACACAACCTCTCCCACTCCCACCCCTAAATAATAAAGAAATAAAAAAGTAAAAAGAAAGTATACTTGGTTACAATGACAGAAAAGGATCCTTTTAAACTAGGAATCTTGTAAATACTTCAAATCCATGAAAGTAATAAAAGCAACCTAAACCTACACAAAATTATTATAAAAGAAAATAGAAAATAAGAACAAAAAATCTATCATCTTATGAAAATGCCCCTGCTAGAATAAACCATTAAGTGAAGAAAACCACAAAACAACACTGCTAAGTAAATTAAATGTTCTCAGTCAAGTACCTGAGGATGTGAAAACCATCTTAAATCAGAAATTAAAGTATGAACCAAGTATCCCATATCCAGCCAAGCTCTCCTTCAAGTCTCAAGGCTATAAAAAAACAGTTGTAAAAATGTAAGAATGCAGGGAATACTGTATACATCAGCTCTTCTTGAAGTGTCTTCTAGAGGATGAGTTTCGTTTAACCAAGAAATCACTGGGGGAAACTTCAGCAAAAGGATTGATGGTGAGCATTTAATATACTTATCAGATCTAGGAGTAAAACAAAGGTAGGGGAAGGGTAAAAAAAAAAATATGTATATATATATGTATATATACATTTCATATGACAAAGTATAAATAATGTAACTAAAAATGGGAAGAAAAGCTGAAAAAGAATAAACTCATGGAGTATAGGTCACATAATAGTTGGGAGTCAAAAAACACCATTAAAAACCAACCAATGGGATAATAAAAGATTAAATAAGAAACAGAGACTAGGGGCATTAAAAATGTATAGGTTTAAGGAAGATTGGCACAGATGTTACCTCAGGGAGAACGTTCCTCAGCAAAAGAAAAAAAAAAGTATAAGTTCAAAGGTAACTAATAGGACAAAAATACAAACCATACTAAGTTCCAAAGGGAGAAAAAAAAAGGTAACCATCTTTATAAAGAAGAAACTATCTATAGAAGCTGCAATGAGAAATACATAGAAACATAATAATAGGAGATATTCAATCCAAGACAGGTCAAAAGGACTAAAAATAAATAAGAATATAGAAGACCTAAATACATAATCAATCAGGCAGTTCTCAAGGATATGTATTGAACAGCACACTCCGAGAATAGAGGTTACATCTTCTCAAACACAGATATAAATACACACAATTTGATTATATATTGTCACAAAGAATGCATCAGTAAGTTGCATAAAATAGAAATATTACAAACAACACTCTGACACGATACAATAAAATTATAAATTAATAAAATTAAAACAACAAGACAGCCTTTTCACCTGAAGACTGACAAATCTTCTATTAAACATCATCTAGGTGGAAAGGGAAAAACAAACCTAAAATTACAGAACTTCTTAAAAATAATGATAACGAAAACACTTTGTAGTAGAACTTACGGTGCATAAAGCATCACATGTATGCATCGTTTTAAGCGTTCCTAGCCTTAAACACTTCTGTCACAAAAAATAAATGAATTTAAGCCAAAAGTCAAAAGGCTGGAGAAAGAACAATATAAATCAAAAGAAAGCACAAGGAAGGAAATAATAAAGGTAAAAGCAGAAATTAATGAGGTAGAGAACAGAAAAATGGCATATCTAATTAATAAATCAAAATCCTGGTTCTTTAAAAAAAGTATCAAAATAGACAATCACTAGTTTACCTAATTAAGAAAATGGGGAGAAAGTTCAAATATACAAAATAGAAAATGACAGGCTAGAAATTGTCATTGAAATATACACAATTTAAAACACAAGAGACCACTTTGCAGACCCCAAAGTAAGTAAACTGGAAAACCTACATGAAATAGAAAACTGCCCAGGAAAACACAGTTTATTGAAATTGACCCAATAGAGATAGATAGAAAGCTTAACCAGAACAATTTCCAAAGAAGGAAAAAGAAAGGTTATTAAAGAAATACTCTGCAAAGAGCACCAGATCCTTACGGTTTCACAGGGAAATTTTACCAAACCTTTAAGGAAAAGAGAATCCCTATGCTATATAAACTATTCCAGAGCATAGAAAATCAAAGAAAACTTCCAAACTCTTTTTATGAAGCAAGTGTAACACTGTTAGCTGTGGTGGGCAGAATAATGGACGTGCCCCCCCCAATAATGTCCACATCCTGATCCCCAGAAACTGTGGCTATATCGCCTTACATGGCAAGAGGGACTTCGCTGATGCAGTTTAAGTTATGGATCTTGAGATAGGGAGATTATTCTGAAGTGCCCAGGTGGGGCTGATGTAATCACAAAGGTCCTCATAAGGGAAAGAGAGGCAGGAGAGTCACAGAAGACGTGACCTCAGATGCATAGGTCAGGGAGAGAGAGAGATTGAAATTTGAAGATGCTACATTGTTAGCTTTGAAGATGGCAGAAAGGGCCACGAACAAAGGATGCAGGTAGCCTCTAGAAGGTGGAAAAGGCAAGGAAATGGATTCTCTCTCTAGCCCCCAGAAAGAACCCAGACCCGATTTTAGCCCACCTTGATTTTAGCCCAGTAAGACCCATTTCAGACTTCTGACCTCTAGAAATATAAGAAAATAAATTTGTGTTGTTGTAAGGCAATGTGGTAATTTGTTACAGCAGCAATAAGAGGCTAATGCAATACCTAAGAAGATAATGCTAGCACAAACAAAACAGAAATTATAGATTGATATCATTTACTAATATGATAGAAAAAACCTAAATAAGATATTATTGAACAGAGTTCAATATTATATTAAGAAAATAACAGATGATGACCTAGTGGGATTTATTCCAGGAATGAAAGGTTGGTTCACTCTTAGCAAATCCATTAATACAATATACCATATTAATAGGTCTAAAGAGAAAAATTATCTGAGCATCTCCATAGATGCTGAAAAGGCTTTTGACAAATTCAACACTCATTAGTGATAAAAACACTAAAAAAAAAAAACAAAAACCGATGGCTATTTCCTTAACATGATAAAAATCTATATAGCTTAGCCCTAAAGCCTGCTTCTCACTTAATTGGGAAATCCTAAAAGCATTTTCACTAAGAACAAGGACAACGTAACATTGTATTGCAAGGATGAGTTCATTCAATTAGAAGAGAGAAATCTACTAGAGGCCTACAAACTGGAAAAGAAGCAAAGCTATCTTTATTTGCAAACGTATGACAGCATAACCGGAAAACTCAAGAGAATCAATGACAAAATTAACCCGAAAGATAAAAAATTTAAAAAGGTAGCAGGATATAACACTGACATACAGAATCTAATAGCCCTCGTACACACAATCAGGTAAAGGTTTTAATGATGGGGGAAAACCCTATTTACAATATTAACAAAGAAGATAAAGTACTTATAAATAAACTTAACAAGAAATGTGCAAAACTTACAAAAAATACTTCAAAAAGCTCTTGAAAGACCCAGAAGTATACGTGACCAAATAGAAAGACATCCTTTGTTCTTAGATAGAAGACTCAGTATCATGAAGATATCAATTCTTCCTGCCAATTCTTTCAAAAACCAGATAGAAAAATGGGCAGAAGACATAACCAGATAATCTACAAAAACAAGTAAAATGGCCTTTAAACTTTCAAAAACATGTTCAACTTTACTCATAATAAGAGCAATACAAATTAAAACCACACTCGGATACCTTTTCTTTCTTATTCAAT